AGCGGGAATCTCTGGGATTACCAACCTTGTGAGTGTGCAAATGGATAAGTCAATGTGCGAGGTGACTTCTGCTGACCTCCTTTAGGATCTCCTGCGAGCCAGTTTCGGGAGCTTTTTCCGCAGACCACTGGAAAACACCTTGGCCCGGTTAGTGGAATGCTGGCAATTGTCGCAGCCCCTGCATCTGCGCCATCTAGCGATTGTACGAGACACGGCACTTGAAAAGACCATCACGCATTATATCCATTACTCAACGGCCAACTTCCAAAAACTCGTTGATGCCGGAGAGGCATCGTGGGAAGCTGTCGAGTTTGTCCCCCGAAACACCAAGGCAGAGAAAATTTCTGTACCGCCCGTTGATGCTGTTCCCGAACTGGACGAGAATGGATTGCCCAAAGCTGTCCCTACGAAAGAACTTATCAAGAATGGCAATGCATCGCTTCTGGCTGGCGTCTTGGTAGTCAACCCAGCAGATTACAATTGCACTGGAAATGATCCCATGCCGTTCCGGCTGAAGGATGGTAGCTATGGTAAGTTTTGGCCCCTGGCAAGGAGTGAATCACGGATGTTAACTCTTGAGCAGTAATTCGCTTCGGCGCGCCAGGTATGAATCGAGTCGGACGTCCGAAGGGAACCCCCAACAAAGTAAAGCTCAAAAAGGAACATCTGCCTGAATTGGAAGCGGATGTCATTCCTGAGCAAGACCCCGTGGCTATCAGGCGATTGAAGAAAGCGCAACGCGACGAAGAGAGATTCCGAGGGATGTCTGAAAAAGAGAAACTCGAGGCGTTAGGGCTGGATGAAACATGGACTGAATACAGTGTCTTGCTCCTTGAGCGTACAGAACCTGGTGTGTACATCACGCCTCGCGGACGACGCAGACCAGCGGGGAAACGACAAGGTCGCCCGAGAATCTCCCGCCTTGCAGTTTTCAGGTCGCCAAAATTAGCATCACTGCCTTGGTTTACTGAGACCCAGGAAGGCGAACCGGAAGATGAAGCTGCTAGCACTATGCAAGAAGTTTCTCGTGCCCAAAGTGCCGAAACAACTCCTGTTCCCGCATTTATTGCGATCAATACCCCTGCCACGACTTCTTTAACGCCGGACACTCCTTCGAGAGGTACAAAAAGAACGCTTCGAAGTCGGATTCCCCTTGACGCAGAGTCTGAGCCGAATCATGAAAGACCGTCTAAACAGCCACGTATAAGACACACGGAGGTCTCTCAAGACGTTACTGAGGCTCATGTCTTAAGCTCTGAGGAACCATCGTCAGACAGACAGAAGACTGGTGAGCCCTCTATTGAGACCATCAAGGACGTCTCTTCTCGGGCAAGTAAACGGAGAAGGGAACCGTCTCCAATCACTACCGGGGAAGTCGTCGCAGTCCACAAGAGCATGCAAGGAGTAGCCCCTGAGATGGCACAAGCTCCGTCACCAGCAGAAAAAAAGCAAGTCCGACCTTCACAGCCTCGTCAAAACTTAGAGACACCGTCCAAAAAGCGCCGATATGAACCTCAAGCTTTGCGAGGTGAAGAGACTGCCTCAACCCTTTCCATCGCTGAGCAGCTTGCTCCATCAGGGCCGACCAAAGTTGAGAATGGAGAACATCGCCCGGTTGACGTAGAAGCAATCGGCACGCCATTGGAGGCCACAGCACACGAGGACGTGGCGGTGGTTGAGGGCCCCCCGGCTGCAACTGCCGGTCCAGGCGCCAGTATTTATAACATCCAAGAAGCAAAAGGTATCGGCCTAAAGCTCACTGACGGGACACCAGACGTTGAGCAGCGCGACGAATCGCAGACGCCAGAGGGGCATCGTCAGCGCACAAAGAGGCAAGACAAGTTAGGCTCTGTTGCGGTCTTACGCAGGAGCATTATCATGGATATTATTGAGAAAGCTGGAGGCGCGTACTCCATGGGTACCGAAATATGGTACCCATTCGCAACTGCATGGAAGAAGACGAAGTACAAGGAAAAGCCAGACATGCGAACAGTCAAGACATCTATTAAACACCTGATTGATGCTGGCAAACTTCGGCAGTTCACATTCAGCGGGAGGGACGGCAAAGGGGTAATGGTGACAAAGAGCATTGTCGCCAAGCCTGAATTGCAGCCTGATGATCCGATAATCAAAGACTTGCAACATAAGATGCTTACCACGACCGCTCGATACTACTTCCCACCCGGCGTCGAAGTGGATCCCGAACTGACCAAGTCAAGTGCGAAAAGTGCAAAGAGTACGCCAAGCGGCGAACCCAAGATGGCGAAACTCCCTATCGAGCGTGGGATTACCGTGCATTTACATCAAAAGCCAGCCTTTGTCCTGGCTCTGGAGAAGAGAAAGGGACAGAGCATTCAACGACGGCTGCTGCAGCGCCTCCAGTCTGACACGGAGATTCGGCGTCCCTCTGGGGTTGTTCGACTCGCCAAACTTCAGCACGGGCCCGCACGGGACTCTCTGGAACGCGATCTGGGGCCCATCTCCAAGGCTCGAGAAAAGGGTCAGCAACGAAAACGCATCCTGAAGCATCGCACCCCAGCTGACGGTCTCGCCGTAGAAGATGGAGAAGAGGAAGGCCCCAGAGCTCCCCGCAGGTTGAAACGTCTCTGGATGCCTATTTCGCTCATGGCACCTTATGCCATGTTCATGAATCCAGTGCAGACGTTCCATTCCAGTACGGGCACCTTCTCGACAGAGGCTGGGCTTGTAGCGGTCCGAGCTGCGGCCGTTGCTCGTGCAAGAGCCGCCTTCCGATTTCCGAAATCTCTGGACGACCTTTTGGACCAGCTAAAGCGACCCGCAGTAGACTTCTCTAGAGCCGTGGATCCACGCACAAGCAAGTTCTTCAGTGAAGCCGGCGCGATTCTGAGGTGGGAGCTTCAAAATGAAGAATTCATACTTGAAAAACCAGCCGGAGAAGGCCAGAAGTTTTCTTTTATCCAGCAAACGCTTGATGATTTCCCAGAGGCAGTCCCCATAGAAGGGAATATTCAGATTGAAATTGATCAGAGCGCCTATCCTAGGGTGCGCATTCCGAAAGCCAGGAAGATCAGAGAAGCAGCTCGCCGTTTGGAATTACTTGAACCTGAAAAATCCCCATCAGAAGAGGCAGAAGAGGCCGAGGGATCGGAAGAGCCTTCAGAATCGGAAGTTTCCTCTGCCTCTGAAGATTCGGACGACTCGCTGGATGCACTGGATCTGCTGTTCTCCGCTGACTCTCGTAGACGGCGCAACGACTACGTCCCGCAAAATCGTCGCTTGGAGAAACTAGCCGCCGAAGGACCTAGAGAAGTCGTTGTGGCAAAACCGCCAAACCGACCGGCTGCCCGCCGGAATCGAGCTCTTCAGCATCTGCCACGTCTGATAGCAGAAAGGATTCTGACTGCGATTGTAGTCGTTAGGGCACTAGCCGGCGGCTATGAAGGCAAGATCGTTGACTGGCAGCTGGTTTGCCAGAGTTTCCCCAACCAGGACCCCAAAATGATCCAAGAGCGGGGGAAGAACATTCTCAGCAGAAACCGACTGCAGGTAGCGAAGATGCAGAGTGACTTTCAGGAGCGGTTTATTGTAGCATACGCGAACGGCCAGGTGCCGCCGATCAACTACGAAGACTTAGAAGGATACGATTGGGAGACGGTTGTCGACTGGGCACAGGCAGAGCTGGACATTCCTAAGTCTGAGAAGCTGCCGGATCTTCCTGCCACCAAGGACCAGTTCGACAGGGTGTTTGAGCTGCGCGAGGAGCCTCCGGTCACGCTGGATGAACTCTACCAGAACACTCATGGAGTAACTGTGAACCGCAGACGTGCCCTCTACGCAGGCGTTCCCTTCGCCATCCCCTTGCCTGAGAAGCCGGCCCAACCTACAGGACGACAGGCCGAGCTTGCGCGGCTGGAAGTGGCCAAGACGTGGGTCCGAGCCAACATCGTCGCACCGGAGGAGTCCTACCGGCCCGCGGAGGCCCGGCAGGCCTTGGCCAATTTCGGAGGCAGACTTGTCGACGATGCGCTGCAGTCCTTGACGACGGAGCGGGTGGTATCGCAGGGCAACAGAGGGCGCATTACCCCAGGCCGCAACTACGACATCACCGAGTTCTTCCTCCACATGTTGGGCCGCAGGCGGAACATCGAGGTCACCCAGCTCCGGCGAGCCGCGCGTTTCAAAACCGGGACCCTGGATCCAGCGCTGCAAAGCACCGGCTCGTTCACCATCAACTACCACGCGGAAGACGGGGACATCCTCGCGCTGATCAACCTCGCCGCCGAGCGCAGAATCATCCTGAAACCGAAGGATCCCCCACGGGATAAATTCGGGCTTACAGACGGCGGCTACCTCACCAGACAAATCGACAAAGATAAGCTGCGCTTTGTGGTCCAGGTGCAGCCCGTCGAGGCCTCGTATACATACGGCAACCCGATCCGGGAAAAGGTCGCCAACACGCCCCCGCCGTGTCCGCCCCGTGCCGCCATCACCGAAGGCGAATTCATCCCCGAGAAGATTCCCCTGTGGTTCGATATCCATGGCAACTTTGTCAGAGTGCTCTGGGAGTTCGCCGTGGCGGCTGTCGTGGGGATCGTCGCGGTGCGTCCCGGGATCAGTGCCAAGGGGGTTGCGAGCATGGTGCAACCATCGATGGGAGTGTGGGAGGTGCTGCTCTTGTTGAGATGGATGGCGGATGTGGGAGTTTTACGAAGGGAGAACGAGTACGGAGAAGCGGTTGAGGAAACGACCGGATGGCAAGTTCAAGAATGGTGGTGGATGGTATTGGCATGACTCTGATTCTGATGTAATGATATCTAGCTAAACAAGCTCTGTATAGTAGTACTGTCATAAAACGCCGACCTCGAATAAATTGTTCAAGAGTCAATCCAAAGACTTAATCCAGGAACCTTGGAATAGACATTACTCTCTGTATGCACCAAACTCCAACCAAGGAAAACAAAATATTCGAGAGCTCCTTGGGACCAGCCCACCGATAGAAAGAACGACAGCGCTAATAGCTAATACTCTTCCGACTTAGCAACCCGGCGTACGATCATAAACGCCAATGCGATAAGAACGCCTAGGATGGCCCGATCCAGCCACGGGGCATCTGATGTGGTAGTGGTAGTAGGTCGAGAAGTCGTCGTAGTCGTAGTCTGGACAGGAGTCGTGCGTGTCGGCGTAGGTGCAGGTGCAGCCGCTTCTGCAGGCGCAGACGCAGAGGGTACCGGTGCCGATACCTGCTGCTGCGGCGAAACACCATCCCTCGACGTCAGTGATTCCGATTTCTGCTCAGAAGACGCCGTCTCTGTATTCGTATTTGTATCCGACGGTTGTTGTTCTGGTTCTGATTTTGCTTCTACCAAAGTAGTGCCCTCGTTTGCGGTAGCACCACCCGCACCAGCACCCAGTGTGGACGCGCCACCCTCATCATCATCAACAGCAACCCCCTTCGCACGACACACCTCCCTCCACTCGCGCAACACCTCCTCGTTCGACCTCCGCCCCTCACAAACATCACACACCCACCCCCGACTCTCAACCGCATACTGCCTCCTCACACTCACATCGACATCCAAACCCCCCACCTGCCCCTTCGCATCCGCATCCATGAAACTTCGCAGCGCGAGCAGCGCCGTCCGGATCCCCCACGCAGGCTGCCACGTCTCCTCATGGTGGCCCGAGATACTCAGGCAGATCTCGCGGTTGACCTCGAAGCGGCCGGAGGGGGTGAGGAAGCGGAAAGAGGGCGGGCGCAGGGGGTAGGTTGGCGGGAGGACGATGCGGCCATGGTAGATGCCGCCGGCGTAGGGGGAGGGGGGTGGCGGGCCGGCGAGGGTGAAGTGCCAGTCGTAGAGGTTGGAGTCGGAGACGGGGTGCGCGGTGAAGTGCGGGGAGGGGTGGGAGGCGAGTTCGGAGGCTTCTTTTAGGAGGCGCCGGTGGGAGGGGGATGTCATTTTGGGAATTGCTCTGCCAGCAGATGTGATTATTTTGTTGGTGGAAGGTGATGGTGTTGTTGGTTGTTGGGTTGATGCGGGTTGGATGTAGATCTGATAGAGGTTATCAGATTGGGGTGCAATGATTGATGACTGATAAGGTGGCGACTGGCGAGAACTATATACTGCGTCAAATAATGTTCCTATGCGGCATTGGAACGTGTTAGTTCATGGTTTGTCAGTAAGTAGAACTGCTTGTATGTAGTGCAATGATGGAGTGAATTGATTGAATAAATACTGAGATAAAAATGCCAGCTTGTCCTGTTCGAATGACGTTGGACTTTCCACGCGGCCCTCGGAGTAAGATAGTAGTGTATACCTCAGGCACCAATCAACTCTTAGCAGCCAACAAGCCATTAGTCTAATGCATTAAGACAAATCTAAATCAGAAATATCGTACATAAATACGCCGCACTTCATCTCCTCATATCGAAGTATATACGACCTATTCATGTATGCAGTCCGCTATGTCCAATACCCAACATGTAACAAGAACTAGCGAACCCAAGGTCATCAATCCCAGTCCCGCCACTCGCTCGACTCCTCTCGTCGGTTCGTGGTCGTGCTGCCTGACTCGTCCGGTTTTCGCAATCGGCCTACAGCCTCGTTTGCAGGGACAGATCCCTGGTTCAAAGGAACAGTTTCACTGATGTCATCCTCGAAATCGCTATCACCCGGGCGTGGTCGCGGGGACATGGGGGCCAAAGTCTGCATCGACACCCCTGTCGCGGGCCGTTCCGGGTTTCGGAAGCTGTCCAACGGCTGATTTGGATTCCATGTTGGGGCTGCAGCGTCCTGCCCTAGCCAGGCTCGGCTGTTGTTCATGTTGCGCGAGTACAAGTCACGGTAGTAATGCTGCTGGTTGTTCATGTCCTGTTCCCGCTTTTGACGCAGTCCTTCTTGCGCTTCAAGGAATTTCCGGCTCGGTTCCCAGCGCCAACCATCGCCGGTGGTCGTGCAAACAGGGATGGGCCAGAGTAGGGGCCGGTTGCCGAACAAATGCAACAGATTCTTGCGCCACCCGAGATCAAACGCGTGCGGTAACTTTCCATTATCCTGCTCGTTCAGATAATCCTCGTACCTGTCGTGCTCCCGCTGCCTTTCCAGCTCCGCATACGATCGTGTCAGCGCCTGTTGCGCCGGCGTGAGTTGGTCATCAGACACCCCATCGGCAATGGGCTGCGCTGGTGCCGGATAGAGCTGTTCTTCCCCTTCTTCGGCCCGAGTAACTCCGGGAATCGCATTAGCATGCGCGTCGAGAATCTGCTGCCCGTAGTCCTGCAGCCGATGGCCAAAGCTGTCCGAAGCCGGACTATCCCCGTTGCCATCCCGGTGGTTCCCCAGTATGTGCTCGTAGCGGTGACGATCCAGCGCTTTCCGCAATGGCGACACATACCGCGTCTTCTCCAAACATTCGATCGTCGTCATGCCCCGGACCGCAAGACTGATATGCCATGCCGTGAACCCCGTCAGCACCAGTCCAATAATCCCACCCAAAATAGCCAGCAACACCACATTCACCGGCAGCATCGTCTCCAGATAGGGAGCATCGTTAAACACCTCCGTCCAGATCCACGTCGCCGCCACCGCAAAATCCACCCAGCAGAACAGCGACGTATAGATCAAAAACAGCAGAAATGCCTTGTAATTGTACAACCCCACACAAGTCGCAAGCCACGGACAGTGGTGGTCCATCTTCAGCACGCATCGCTTACACGTCGAGCAGTGGTGCGTCCGGTCCGGCTTCGGACACTGACATTTCTTGCAATACCGCGATCCCCCATTCGAGCTCACCGTGTACGCCGTAAACTCAGGCAACTCGGTGACCGGCAGCGCACTGTATTGATGCCGATTAGCCCCAGTCGTCAGCGGCGACCCGGGATCCGTAAAGACCGCCACCGTGTACGAGGCATTAAGGCATATGTAGAGAAGGATTCCTAGTATCGAGCTCGGTAACCCTACCCAAAAAAGTCAGTTCCGATCCCATCCGCGACGAGGCAATGGCCAAGGTCATCGGAGATTTGCAACATACCGATCCACGGGCTTCGCGACGGCTTCAACCCGATACTCGCTTCGACGTATACCGCCCACGTCGTCAGACTGTACACAAATGCAAGAGGAAAATATGTTGCCGCGGCGCAGCAGTATCGTTCACACCGGAGGGCCCAGGCCCGCGGGCGGCGCTTGGGCCAGGATGGAGACGTTGGCGGCGATGTCGCCAGGGTTGCCATTATGAATGCCGGTGTATATCACCGTTGGAGATTTCGCAGCTAGAACCAGTGCATCGAGACGATCTATAAGCAGGCGAGCATTGCGAATTAGATATCCAGAGGGATAGTCGTGTTAGTGTAGCAAAGTAATGGATGTAGCAAGGAAGACTTGGTATTCGGGATTAAACAGATAATGAAAACAAAAATAAGAGCAAGACGAAGAAAATTAAATCGAAGACGGCACGAAGCAGAGCACTGAAAGCAAGGCGTTGATGATGAGCTGGAGCCTGATGGATGATTGCGGAAGACCGCCGTCTTCATGGGGTAAGTGATGACGGGAGGATAGCGGTATCATACGGTAATTACCAGATGCACAGCCATCGATGCGTACGTAATTATACACGTGGTTAGCACCAGCCACAGCCACAGTCACCTTTGTTGATAGTTGGGGGAAGTAGTAAGATATTTTAGGAATCAGACCAGCTGCATTGTCAGTCTATGATTGAGAGTCTATTCCATAGACATATTCTCTTTCTGGGTATAGTAACATCAAAATCATCCCAAATAAGTGCCAAAAGACCGCCACTTGATATGAATAGAATCGAAATGCGGCCTGCTTGATCCACTTTATACAGCACGTCTTTGAGAAAACTGATCTAAATTTCTCTATGGCATAAAAATGAACCTAATTTGTTGTGGTTGAATTGACAACTGTGATCTTACCCTGCTCGCACCAATCATTGACCGGCTGTAAAGTGTCAGTATGTCACGCATCCAGATTCGATTGAGGCGACTCACCAAGCAGCTTAGTCTGTAGCACCATGAGCAATTCGAAGTGTGATATTTGTAAAAGTCCACAATAAGCAAGATGAAGCCAATGAGGACGGCAACCAATGCCCCGAGTCGTACCAACCACCAGGCCCACCAAAGTGGTTTACGACCCTTGAAGAAAGCCAGAGCACTGGAATTTTTCGAGCTCTTAGAGCCCTTGTGAGCCTTGAAAAATTCGGCAATGCTTGAGCCAGGATTGGTGACCTTATTTGCTGGGTCCGTGCTGGCACCCGCGGCACCTGTCATGGCCACGTATGGGTTACGGGCAAGACCGATGCGTTCGCGAAGGGCGTTAGGAGATCTCATAATGCAGAGACCAGACGCGAGTCCCATGACGAAGCCTCCAATGTGTGAAAAATTGTCCAGCCCCGGAAGCAACCCGAGCACGAACGAAATGGCAATCCCAAAAACCATGATCACAAGCTCGACCCATGGACTCGTCCGTTCACCCCAAGTGTAGAGGAGGTCCAAGATATAGAGAGCCAGGATGCCGAATAGACTGCCCGAGCAGCCGCAAGAACTCTCGCCTTGAGCAGCGTAATTTCCGCCGAGCACGAAACCCCAGATACCGCTGGCCAAGTAGACCAAGGCGAACCGCCACCATCCGACCGTTCTCTCCATATCAGCGGCCATTGTCATTTGAACCAGCAAGTTGAAGCCGATGTGGATAATCCCGGTGTGAAGGAACATGGGAATGATGAACCGGAACCATTGATTTGGCTCAGGGTGATCGTCCAGGGAGCCGCCTGGGACCGGGTTCGGGACTCCATCGAAACCGCACAGCTCCGAGAGTGAGCATACAAAATCCGTACTCGACGTCGAGTTCGGACAAGGGAACAGGAAATCCACGGGCGAATTCTGAATCTTGTCCACGTTCTTCATACATGGCGTGTACCGCGCTCCCATGTTGATCTGAACGTACGGCGAAGGGCCGATCATCGGGTTAAACTGGGGGTGGAGTTCGATGGGGCTTCCTGTAAGTTGAGCTGCAAAAAGTCAGTACGTGGACCTCCTCCAGCGGGAAAAGGCGAATCGCGGAAAGCACATACCATTCTTCACCAGCTCGACGATGAAAACGATGACCTGGGCTATGGTAAGTGCATATGTCACCCAAGCAATCTTCTTCTTGAATATCCCCTTCTTCTGTCTCCTCGCCGGCGAAATCGGAGGCCCTGCGGGCTCCATCGCCGAGGGTTCTGGCGCATATTGAGTTGGCTGGTGCATCCAGTTTGGCGGCGGGGATCCATCTGGATACTGATTGTGTGCTTTCAACGGTATATTGTCTGAGTAATAATCGGCCTCGTTGAACCTCCCGCCCGCTACATATGGCCCCTGATCTGATGCGATCGATTGCTGGCTGTGCCGAAGCTCGTGTGAGCCATAGTCGGCAGTTGTATAAGGGTGTCCACTGTTGCCTGTGTAACCATGCCCCTGTGACACTGGGGAGACGCGATCGACGGGCTCTGTGTGAGGAAGGGTTTGCTCGTAGGTTGGGGGATTGTTGCTGTAAGCGCCGTTGTAATAGCTGTGGGCTGCCATAATGGATGGACAGCCGCAGCAACGAGATGTTGGCGCTAGACGGAGGTTGCTGCAATCCTCTGTATGTAAATGGGGATGGATCGTAGAACAAGATCGATGCCAGTGATAAATTCAGAGAATTTGCGGTAATGAATAATTTAGAGCAATCACAAATGAATCAGCAGATAGATATCCTTAATATTCTATTGACCAAGTCGCAGCCACGAGCTGAAACGAGATCTAATTCCCCTTAGTCTGATGGATCCCGGCTGGGCAAAAGGAGCCGTATGCGAGCACGAGACGGCAATGACAAAGACGTCTATCAAAGAATTCTAACTCAAAGGCACGACACGCTTGGCAATCCAAGAAAAATTTGTAACGACTGTATCAACAGAAATGATGCAGAAGCGGAGCTCGTTGTCAGAGGAATGTCGAGTGTGTTTTCTAGGCAGTCACTTTTGGCTCTGGCGTCCTATTTTTGGCGCCGATCGTCTGGTGAACTCGTAAGATACATCATCACTGCCACTGATCAACTGTCCAGCCACTGCCACGCAGCACTGGTCAGATGCAGCAAATCAGATGACTGCCGAGGAACCCACAAACTCGGATTACGACGATTATTATTTACCTCCTAGGGCTGGGGTTGGTCCAGTGGATCGTTCCCTTGGGAGCGTTTACTCTGCCACACTACTACTACTGCTTGGGTCAGGTACTGTACTCTATCCGTACCTAACTCCGCTTTGACGGAATTGGTCCAGCTCAGCACAGCCATCTCATGTTTGACATGTTTGATGTACTACGGAACACATAACTACCTTAATTCTCACTACGAGTTTATTGTAGCTCATCCAGCCGTGGTGCAGACAGACAGAGTATCCTCGTGTTCTGTTTCATGTAATCTCACATTGACATTAAGCATTATTTCAACGCCTGCAGTCACACAAGCCAATCGGCTTCTGTTCCGCAAAGGTACATCAACAAGAGAGACATTGGTGAGTGGAATGGGTTGGGTATGATTGATAGGACTCAATCCCGTCTGATCCAAAAACACCTCTGGTGTAGACGCGAAAGATGAACGGCTCAGCGACCAGAGGTGCTCACCAATTGTCGACCCTCCAAGCTTCGAGTACGCATTATTATAACCTTCGTTGAATCCGTCCAGTACTCGTGCTCACATTAATAATCCGGTTCCCTTCACTTCATTAATTCTTATATGGCGAGATCGTGTCGGCCATGGGATGAGAATGATAGCCCAAAGAATGCCCCGTTTTGAACGCCTGAAAAGCAATAAGAAAAAAAAAATATTCTTTTGAGCCAAGAATGTCAGCTTGCTGCGCGAGAAAGAAACTTGATGGGAAGACGACTTACCGTCAACGCTGACTTCCAGATCCAACCGGATGGAATATCAGAAAAAATACAAAGTCGTTTATGTCTATACCAATTCCACTCCTCTCATGACGACGGGCTCCCCGAAGCGGAGAATGCCGAAGACGCAGGGCTGACATGCTTATCGAGGATACCGAAAGCAGCGCGCATCTCTTCACCGCTGTGGCCGGTGAGCAGCCACACCAGGCGGCTCAGCTTTTGGTACAGCAAAGATGGGAAGTAGAGCACCAGCGCCCAGAAGAGAAGAGAGAGCACCACAATGACGAAAGTGTTGGCGACGAGCTTTTCGCCTGGTGTCATCACATACAGTCCGAAAGTGACCTCGTAGCGGTAATAACCCAGCTGAACCTGATCGCCAATGCGTTGCAGGATGTTGCGACGGGGATTCTTCAGCGTCAGATGGCTTGCCGAGTATGTGCTCGAAGCAGTTGCCATTGAGGACGAATACTTGCTAATGAGCTCGTCGACGGCGGCCGGAGCATGGGAGATGTGCGTCGCGGCGGAAGGGGTGTAGAAGGTTTGAACTTCGGTTGCCATGGGTGCGTAGGTTGAGCCTTTGCTTTTGAAGCTATTTTCTTGTTCCTCTGTTGCGGACGGAAGGGGTCTTGTCACGTCCTTCTATAGGTATTTAAGAAGTCGCGTCAAGGGCACACTCCCTTTGGTTCTTTCCCTGTGGAAATTCGCAAGGGCTGGAGAAAAGCCCTAGCAATACAATAACGTAGGTACGTCCTTTTAGTCGGCTGACTTCTCCTGAGAGTTGAGCACCGTTTACCCGTCACGTCTTTAAGTAATCGGCCCGGCAAAATGGGTGCCGGGATAACCGGAAGAGGCTGAGAAGATAAGACACTAGAATCAAACTGCTGAATAGAAAGTCGCTGAAGGAGCGCAAACGCTTTTTTATGTAACAGGCAAGAACAAGAAGAGTGTAGCGTATCAATACAGGAGACGGGAACAGAGGAAGGAAGGAGAATCCGACGAGGAGAGGAAAGGAAGGGGTGTGATTAGTAGCAGACCTTTAAGATTATTATACCCAAGAGAAAGAGGTAGAAGGAGGATTGGCGAATCCGGTACGGCGCGGATGAGAACAGCCGCAGGATCATCCACTTTTTACTAGCTTGCTACCCTATGGGCAGGTATGCACCGTAGCTCTGCCCAGCTATCTCAAGTTGCAACAATTATTGATGCTTAAATCAGTGATTATAATTAAAGAATTATCTATGAAATCTTTGATTCTTCTATTCTGATCGATTAAACTGAAAGCATGTAGCGACTTCACTATTGCCTTGTCTTGTATGGGCATTACTCAGCTTGCCGGAACTCATCGGCCGAAACTCTTTTTCATTTTTCTTTTCTTTATTCATCCTTCCCCCCCTCCTCCCCCCGTTGTAAATCTTGATTAGATCCAGAGAAAATACGGTTAGATTATGAATATCAGACAGGATGACATGTTTAAAAATACAACGGCTGATGTCTCTAGTCGTTGATTTCAGGAGATGATCTTATTCAGTCCTGGACTGCTCATAACATGCGCCGTAGATAGTTCATAACTCAGTCTTATGCAGTTCTTCCTAACCAAGCGCGTGCCTTGAAGATCGTCATCTATTTGCTTGGCGGCTTCAATACCCAGCCTAGGTTCCTCGCTAGTCTGCCAAGTATCTAGAATCTCCGTAGCCTATCTTCTGCCTCACAGCCCACCGACGTCAGCCATGGCTTTTAGATTGCAATATTTCCTCACGAGCCACGTGATTACGGGGATCATTCACAATCCTCCTCCTGCAAGCAGTCATAAATCATCCGAGTACCCTGTGCTATGCCCAAGGTACTAAGGTAGCTATCGATTGTGGGGCACGCTGGATGATGGTGCCGGGTCAGGTGACCGCCGCTTCGGCCAGTGATGTCATGTGCTAGCATCCCCCACTTTCAGTACCTTAGGTGTCCATAGTTGTGTCTCGTTCTGAACTCTATCTGGATCACTCAACTTGCTGTTCCTGACAACATCCCACTCCATCAATCCAACTTCCACCACCACCACCACCATCATCATCATCATCATGGCGGAAGAAGAAGATCCTCTCATCAAGGCTCTGCCGCCAGCGACCGACTATCTCACTTACCTCACCCTGTTGGAGTACCAATTGACCCCCGCTCGCTTGCCCACTCTGCATAAGCTGTTACAAGATGAGACCCTAACAACAAACATTGGCTGGGATCTGGTCCAGCTTTTACTACCAATGCTACCCCAATCGCTGGAATGCTTGCAAGATGTTGCTCGCCTTGGTAACCCCAGAGAAGTTATTCTGAGGGTTTCTGATGCTCTGATGCGGCTTCAACCTGATGAGGACGACTCTAACGCTCACACCCCACCAGGAGATGTTGCGACGGAAACTCAGTCTAAATCAACCACCAACGATAATGATAGACCGGGCGAAGGAACAACAACGCCTCCACGATATGTTGTACAATTCAACTCTCTTGTCGCTATGCTCTCTATATTACATTCCCGCATTCAGACCAAATCCCCGAGCCGATTTCTCGCGACATCCCTCCAGGCAGTTCTAGAAGCATACACCACACTGCCAACCAGTGAGACAACAATTGCACTTTTGGAGTTTCTCCGTGACGTGTCTCCGACGAAAAGGCCAGCTCCACCTCCTAGATCGGCCAGCGAGTCTGGTGTGTTGCGAGTGTCAGCCGCGTCGGCCCCAGATCCCGAAGCCGAGGTTCCATCTCCATCGCCGAAGACCAATGACGAGCAGGTTCTTGTCAAACGCTTCTTACAGTTTGGCCTGATCGAACTGCTCAAATCTTATTTACTGGGTCTGGCCGGTCCCATGGACCCAGGGATGTCCTGGGCCATCCGGTTGCATGAAAAGCTTCATCCCGAGACGCGCTTACCCGGGAAGGCCTCGCAAACCGATGTGTACTGCAGTAACAACTATTTGAAAGACAGAGATATGATACTGGCGAAGATAATTGTAGGTTATGACTCATTCCGCGACCATTGCACATTCTGACCGATGTAGGCTTTGTCGAGTGACTTTGGTTTGAGCGACGATCAACTGCTCGCAATTGCCCTCGAGCCTGCTAAAAACCAGCCTGCGCCATTGGACTTTGACGAGGCCCCCAAAAATGTCGAGGACATCCCGCTGGAGAGACATGGCTCGCTGTTACTGCTCGCTGGACGGGCCGCCATGGCTGAGCTGTTCTCGTCCGGACAGGTCCCTCCCATTCCGCTGTTCCCCGATCTAGCCCGTATCTATTCCAATTTCATCGGGCAAGTCAAATCTCCGGACGATGTAGCATTCGGGCAGCCGCAGCCACTTCTAGACTCTCTACTCACACTGACCACCCTTTCATTACGCAACAACGCGATCGGAGAACCCACAGACGACAAGGAATTTTACGATCTTCTTCTCGCAGTGACTGCTTGCACGACCCGGCAGCCGTACAGCGTCATCCGGCAGCTCCCTGAAGTCATTGTCCACAGCCATCCCTCTCAAAGCACCCGCTTCAAAGTCATCCGCAGGGTCCTGGAGGACGAGCAGCTGCTGACGGTAAAGGACCGCGCAGTCGGGTGGCTGAAGAAGGAGATTCTGGCTGCGTCAGCTCAATCCTCCAATAACGCCACAAGCATCTTCCTCAACCCTCACTACTTCTCTKTTCTGTTCCCGCTGCTTTTCAACTCAGCCGATATACTTCTCAACGTATCCGCCGACATCGCAGCGTCGTGGATCCGATTCTCTCAGACACTGGCTCCATCCATCCATGCCGCATTGAGCCTGTACTACATCCTGCTCCAATCTTCAACGCTCCGGACGCAGTTACAGCTCGAGAAGACCTACCCTTACTTCCGCAATCGATTCCTGGAACCCCTCAAGACCCTCTGTCATGCCTTCGAGACAGAGATGACGCAGAACGGCGGTGATGGCCGCATCGAGGCCGCTGTCGGAGCGGAGATGTCTCAGATCGGCATGGCCCGCTCCGTAGGGCTCATCTCGCATGTCGTCGAACAGGTCGAGGATGCGCTGGAGAATGCGTTCGCGAACACGGATCTGGGGTCGTCGGAGCCGAGTGCGGATGATATCGCTCGGGTGGATGCTATTCGGAAGGAGACGGTACTTTGATGATTACGTTCGATATACCCTAGTCGTATAAACAATGAGACCAAGACTTCGTTCAAGCAAATTGTGCATGATATCCCATAGGCCTTATTTACAGCTTAGGACGAAACAAATCCATCCGATCTTCACATTCATTCCGAACTATCACGACCAAAGTTTGTAGAAAAACAAGTTCCAGCACTGACCAGATCTCACCCAGCCCAAGATACAATAAGCAACTAGCCCGGAAGACAAAACAGAAGCACCAAGAGAGTGGAACGAACAGGGAGGCAAGAGCCCAGAACTATAACCCGGGACTCCTTCTGCCCCCTTCAGAAAACGCATCGCCTCTTTCCCTCCTCATCCTCACCACCCGGCTATCCTCCAAAACAGCCCCCATCCAACGAAGTTGAACGAGTCATGTCGTATCGGATAATCGTGTACGCGAGAGCAAAGAGAGTCAAAAAGCACGCAGACCCCTTGGGTCACTATAGCAGAAACAATTCAAATGGAAAGACAGTAGACGCCCGCATTTGGTCGGTTGATCTTGGGCCGGCGTTGGCTAGGTTGACGGGCACTGGTCGGTATGCGCTAGAACATTGCGGGCGAGGGCCTCGTCGATGGGGCGTTTACATGATGACGCAGCCGCCACCGGGGGAGGCTAGAAACAGCTGTTAGTATACTGCAGACAGATTGGGGAGGGGGAAAGATGCATACACTTGACGACAACGGCGTCCTTGACGGTGTTCTGGGGAGACATTTCGATTGGTTTGAGGGTTTGCGTGAAGCAAAGAATGAAGTTTTGGATGCTTGGAAATTGCAGTTGGGATTGATTTGGTCGATGGTGAGGAGGAAGAGAATGGTCTTGGGGGATTCGATGATGGCTTTATATCTTCTTCTGAGGGGTGTTGAGTCGGCCTGCGAACTCTGTTCAGGTGGTGTATCTCAGCTTTGATTTGGTATCATGAGGAGGACGATGGGATGAGGAGGAGTGATGGTCTGGGGCTGAAAGGAATGGATGCATTTTCTGGACGTCAAGGGCAATGTGCACGTTGAGTGGCTATACCATAGAGTCAGATAAAGAAGGAAGATCAATATTCAAGTCGAGAACATTAGTATTCTTCCCGACTGTTTCAATGGCATTGCGATGGCTCGTCAATGCTCTGAGTGGTGGAAGTATTCGATCGGCTTGATATTGTTCTCGACTTGAAAGACTGCCATTGTCATTCTCGTGGTCAGTCAATCTCCGCCGAACTTCAGCTATTCTTCTCCTCATATCAATGGGATATCCGGGTCTGGGATCTCGAGCTGCGTAAAGAAGAGCTCATTAATTTCGGCAATCTCCATTTGTGGACAATCGAGCTTGAACACAATTCTTGGTCAGACGTCATCGTCTTGGCCTTCACGTACAATATGTAGGAAGACTTCATTGTATAAGGTACTTGAATCCGACTGGCTCAGGTTCATGCCTCGTCGATTGACGCGCTGCCACGGTTTCTGTAGGTCAATCGAAAGATACAAGGATACCAAGTGGCGTATCGTATGCACTGCAAATCACATTTCCAAGAAGGCAGAAACACAGTACTCTTCATACTATGAGAGTTGCACCCAACAATATCTAGCGATATAGATCGATGGGAGAGGTTCGCGGCCTGATATGTGGCCGTCCAATCAGAGGGTCGTTCCTCGGTATTGTTCTTCGAGGAACAATATAATGGCCAAGACATACGTACGACGGATGGGCCACAAAGGTGCAAGACAATGCCAAGAAAAGGTTGGAAAGCATATAATGCGACACTAGACCTTCTTCATGTCTTCAATCGCGAACACAACATGCATATGCGACAGAAAAAAATTTAGAGAGAGGCCGCGAAGTGTAATTAAGCCATCTCCCAATCTGGAAATAGACTCTGCAGTCAAAGACGAAAGCAAAAGTGGAAGCGTAAGTGAAAGCAAAGCTGGAATCAACAGCATTAATGCTTTAGAAAAAAGGAATACAGCTCATTAGCAGGGGTTAAAATCCTCTACTAGTGGCCAGTTGGGACAGGAACACAAATCTTTGTGCAATACAACTCCAAACAAGGCCATATACCATGTGCAGGCGGGCACATTGTTTGCCCATGCACGGAGATAGTCAACGTATTGAGCTTGATTGGATGTGGAATGGAAGACCATACTCATCAAACCTACTGATAGAGAAAGCCTCTAAAACAAGGGTTAGGGAAAGCAATTCACGGCTGAACTCAACAAATATCGAGCTCCTTTTGTGTCTGCATAGCATCGTTTGAGGTTGAAGAGGAATGATAGCCCCATGTCTCCGAGTGCAACCTGGATTTCATCACCTTGGTGCGGCGGCAAATGGTCTGAAGCGTCCCTGATATCCAGTCTAGATTCGCCCGTGCCGTTTGGGATCCGAATTGTCCATCATGCTGTTTCTGCTGAGACTTCTGCACTGCTGCTACCAAATTATTCACTACTGCCTCCAGCCGATCCGTGGCCGACACGACGAGCATTCGCTTGTGGTCACGATCATCCCCGTCCGATAGCTGAAAATTCCCAACCGCAACCTTCAACCCTTGAAGATAAGTTTGGGGGTTTCTACATACGTGACAGAGCATAAGTACGACCCGCTGCAATGCAATGGTGAATATAATGAGCCCGGTTGATGTCTTCTGGCACGCATGGCAGCAGATATGTTGAGCGGTGGCTTGGGTTATTTGTCGTGCATCGGCCAGTATTTGGTCTAATTTCAGTCCGTCATAGTCCACATGTCCACACAGCTCGGCAATGCATTGGAGCTGGGTCTTGAGACACGAGCACTGCTTTTGAGATCTTTCACACATTGTATCAAGTCCCAGCCAGGGAATGCTGGGTGATTCAACGCCAAATGCCGGGGGATGAGGTGCGGGTTCTGCCTGCGATACAGGTCCAGGTTGGTGCCCGAGCAGCTCATAAGTTAGCGCAGCTGGGGACAGTGTCCTCAGTGGGTTGCGGGTCTGCCAGGGTATGCTCGAGTCAATCCCAGCAGATGGTGATCCCAAAAGGCGGACAAACTTACGGCTAGATCATGCAGTTCAAGGTAGTCCAGGTCGTCCGTTAAGATGTTGGGGAAGTTGAGACCCGTAGCTGCGGAAGATTCGACTCCGAAGTTAGTGGACTGCACGATATTCGATGGCCCGCCATCCGTAACCCGTGGTAGGTTGGCCATCTCTGGCGAAAGCATAGCATTGCCCCAATCCATGATGACTGACTCTGGGCTACTTGCTGTAGCTGACAAGGTATCGCTAGAGGCGCCATGGGCGCGCCTTGTCCTCATCCGACCACTTCTCAGCGAGGCCTTGTATTGACAAAGCTGGCCTTTTGTCCTGCATTTCTGGCAGGGACTTCCCCCATCACATCTTACACGAGCGCTGCGACACAATTCGCAAGCTGAGCGCAGCTTTCTTCCTGTTTGCTCTGGAGAGGTGTCTCCGCCGGAAGTGCTTGAGGATGGTCGTCCTTGTCTATCGCTAGGTTTCCACCGCATAACAAGGCCATCTGGTACTTGGGAAGAAGAGACCATTTTTGTCGGATCAGATGAGTGAAAATCAATAGACTCTGTGTCACTTGTATGTGCGAGGTAGAACACATGGAAGATTCGTATTCGATTCGGAGAGATCCCATCGTTAATGCAAGTGATCCCGCTTGTCATTTTTACCCGTTCGGGCAAGTCGCTTAGCGAAAATTACCCGATTGGGTAAACCAGCGATCGCTATGCGAGCTGATGTATTGCTAATATCAGGGCAAGGGAATGTTTTCCATTCGATTTATGAATTGTACTCTGATATATAAAGCCAAGGGCATGCTCAGCACTCGCCAATATGATGCGCATCGACGGAGCCACCGTTATCCAACATAGTGCTTTGGTGTCAGATCTTTGGCAAAAGCTTTACCAATCTGTCCATCCCCATGTTGTCAGATAAAGAGATCAACATTGAGCAAGGCGCTGCTAGCCCACTGAAAAGCAATGGGAATGAGCCACAGCCGCGACAGGAACCATCGTCTATCCCCAATGGCGGTCTAGCAGCCTGGTCACAGGTGCTCGGGGCGCATCTCTTGTTCTTCAACTCTTGGTAGGCCCTTCATCGTTGACATCGCAGAGCAGCTGCTAACCGCGAGTAAGGGGAATCGTCAATACATACGGAGCATACCAGGCCTACTACGAAAGTGATCTGCTGCGTTCCCGCTCCTCTTCCGAAATTTCATGGATCGGAACATTCCAGGGCTTCCTTCTTATTTTCTTCAGCATCGTCGGTGGCCCGATATTTGATCGAGGATACATTCGTCCCTTGCTTATGGCAGGGACATTCTTAACAGTCTTCGGGATGATGATGACTAGTCTGGCCACTACCTATTGGCAGATCTTCCTCGCGCAGGGGCTATGTGTCGGACTAGGATGTGGATGCCTATTTCTCCCCAGCGTTGCCATTGTCGCCACGTATTTCAGCACCCGGAGAGCGCTTGCAACGGGGGTCACGGCAGCTGGGGGGAGCCTAGGAAGCGTGATCTACCCTATCATCTTTCGAAGGCTCCAGCCACAAGTCGGTGCCGGATGGGCCACCAGAATCATCGCCTTCATTGCCCTGGCCACATTGTCGATCAGTGTGCTCATAGCGAAACCCCGGTTACCCCCATCGAAGAAATCGCGCCGTCTGGTCGACCCGGATGCGTTCAAATCTTCCCTATTTGTCCTGTATAATCTCGGTTCCTTCTTCGCGTTTGTCGGCCTATACATTCCTTTTTTCTATCTCATAATCTATGCCCACCGTAAAATTGGGATCGCGGATGACATCTCATTCTACCTTCTGTCGGTCATCAATGCATCGTCCATCTTCGGCCGCATTATCCCCGGACTGCTAGCGGACCGATTCGGTGCGCTCGAGGTGTCGAGCTTCTGCGCCCTCGCATGCGCAGTTCTATCTTATTCGTGGATCGCAATCGATAACCTCGGAGGTCTGATCGTTTTTTGTATACTTTACGGATTCTTTTCGGGGGCGGTGGTCTCTCTTCCGCCTACAGTCATCGCCACTCTTGTCCCATCCCTCGAGGTCGTGGGTACCTGGATGGGAATGAGCTTTACTGCTGGGGCCACGGGGTTGCTGATTGGCAATCCGATTGCAGGCCTACTAATTGACGTTGAGGCGGGTGAATTTGCACGTGGATTCATCTTTGCTGCGTCGATGATCATGGCTGCCACTGTCATATATCTGATTATTCTTGTGGCCAAGCGTCGTCGCGAAAGAAGGTTGTCCAAGGATTGATTTGGGTCGCTCTGGCGATTGCATTTCTGTTTCAATCCACGAGGGATGTCCCTGACCACTGTCATGCGATCTATTGAAATTGAAGTAATGGTCGATATGATAGCAGTGTATCTGGTCATAGAACTGTTTGACTCTGATAGCTACCTTCTGTGTTCCTGGCGATTACTTCACTATAGTTCAACCCCGTTTATGATTCATTGGATAAATCGAATGACCGTACCTCAGCCCAGCCAAGGGAATTTAGTAGTTCATCTGGAGCGACATATTTGAGCACTTAGTGGACCAGTGCGCTATACAACCTAGGTGACTCACTATCGCGTATGATTGACTCTGTACAATCCATGCATTTCCTGTTCAGTTAGCCGGGAGTCAGAACTTAAGAAGTCCAACATGACGAAAGAAAAGAACAAAGAAGAATAAGATCAAATTATCCAATTTACTAGATTCCTAATTCCGATTACACAAAGAGAATACCCCAACGTCCTCAAGTGTAGAGGGGCTCCGTCAAATCATTGAGAGTCAATCCCGACTTCGCAACATCTTCTTCGATCAAGAACATCAATGGCATCTCGACCAGCGTGCCTTTGACCTGACTCAGCAGCTCCTTGACCTGTCGAACGCCTTCCGGACCAGGAGGGAAGTCGTCCCGCACAACATGTCCATATTCGTACCGCGCAGGCTTGGCTTTCTCGTTATTGTCGTAGGATTGCTTATCGGTGTTCTGGAAATAGTAGCTGTAGAACTCTCGGTATGTCGCCCAATCGCGCACTGTGTCGTCTGGAACAGCATGGAAGACCTTGCGGAAGACCTCGGTGTTTGTCTTTGCGCGAGTGTTCCAGAGGCTCTGAAGGGTATCCGCGAGAGGATCTGCCACGATTTGACTCTCCGGAGCGTCAAAGTCAAAGTCACTGGGAATGCCCACAGGCTCAGAGTTGGCGTCTGGGCGTTCGTAATCCTGGGGTGGCAGGAGTCCGAGGTGCTTGCGGAACAGTTGTCGACGCAGAGAGGCGGCAAAGCGACTGGCGGTCCATGGCTTGCCATTCATGCTGGACTGAACGGGAGTGTAGTCTTCAATGATGACTGCAATCTCCGAATCGTGATCTCCGAGCTGAGAACGATCATTCAGATTGGCAGAGCCACAGATGACGACCCGATCATCGGCAATCATGACCTATTCATCATTAGTCAACCAGTTCTTGTCTGTCATACACGAGTTATGTCGAACCTTAGAATGAACATAAAGTTCCTCAGTAACAAATGCATCTATCTCGGCCTCACTCGGACCCTCCCAAGGCACCTTGCGAATGTCCTCACCGTGAAGCATGTAACACTCGCTAACAGTATCCCACCGGCTGGATGTTGACTTGGCGGTCGACACTTGATTAGCAGCCTGCTGATATTGTTGCTGGAATGGAACACTTGTGTCGAAAGCGCTCCGAGCTGGCCCAGGACCATAGCCTCCCTGACCGACCGTATTCAGATCATGTTGTCTGCGAGCGTCTTCGTAGTTGACACCGCTTCGTTGCTCGGCTTCCATCATGCGACTGTTGACATTGATACGGTCGTAATTGCGAAGATTATAGAACCGGATATACTCCATCGGGTTGAACCCTTCCTTGGCGATCAGCTCCATGATACTGTGGCCTCCGCGGTTGATGGAGTTGTACTGGAACTCCATAATGGCCCGCGTTCCCAAAGATGCATCGTCTTCCAAATCACCGGCAAAGCAGGGGACGGATGGGATAACAACAATGATCTTGTATTTCTGACCCGCCCGGGCTGCGCGCAGAATGCGCTCCACAATAGCAGCACCAATCTTGTTCTTGACCGGCTTCTGAGCATCACCTGTTGCTGTGATGAAGAACTGATTTTCGATGTAGACAAAGTGCTCACTGTTGCGAATCACTGCCGCGTAAGCATCGGCGATCGAGTGTTCGGTCGGTGTTCCATTACTCCATTTCGCGCAGCTGCGCACAATCTGACAGGTCATGTTGCCTCGTGGCTGAGGGTTATTGCGCCCAAAAGAAGTCAGACGATCCTGGTATTGATGGACTTGTCCCGCCAATTGCCCGCGAATGACATTGCTGTACCCGGTGAGCTCGTCCTTGAAACGGCGAGGAATGAAGCCGGATCCCCGTTCGGAGTCGCCTTGGCCGCGAGCTTCCTCATATGAGTCGTCAAAACCCCTTGTCTGGGAGTGCGATCCCTCCTGAGTAGGGGGAGGTGGGAAATAAGGAGTTTGACCATAACCTTGGGCTTGAGATTGAGGGGCTGGGGAATATTGACTGGGAGGCGGTCCCGGAGGGGGAGGAGGCAACGAACCCCCCGTATAAGTGGTTTGGTGACCACCACTCTGCGACGGGGAGTAGCCCGCGTAGCTAGGCGGCGACTGATGGCCTGGCGCTCCTTGCCCGCCCATGTTCGGCTGTGAGGGATAAGCCGAAAGGCCAGGAGCCTGTTGTTGCGGCGAGGGTTGGTGATGTGGTGCCGTCTGTTGGGCATTGTATTGCTGACCGGAGGGAGAGCCTGGTTGGCCATGCAAGACAAGTCTGGTATATCTTGCGTCCTTGCGAACCTGGTACTTTGTGTCGTAGATGAAGTTCCAACGCTCTACGAAATGCCGACGCAAATCTTCCACGACCGGCCCGTGCAGGCTCACTGAGATATCGGACCATCCCATACGGGAGGTACGTTTCCGATCCAGCTGGTTCTTCTCCCAGTGCACAACATCCTGGAAGTCAAGGACTCTAGAATTGTTATAGTCCTGACCGGGGAAGACTATGTCGTCAAGATTGGTGGGATGGACATCGGCAATAGCGTGTTGATGCGTATCCCATCGGCCAAAGCACATATCCAAGCCTCCCATGAAGGCAATTCTGCCATCAATCAAGCAAAGTTTTTCATGATGGGCCCAGTAGAGAATCACATCATCATTCATGCCATACAGACCCTTGAGCGCATCGCCGGACATCTTTGCAAGCGAAACCGTGTCCAAGGTCAGGTTCTGGAGAGAGGATGTAATCGCGGACGCCAGTTCTTGACGATCAGGAAGATGATCGGGGTGGCGGAACACTGCGATATTGGGATGGAGGTCTTCGAGAGCGTGCTTGGTGTGAGAGGAGGACACTGCGTGAGCTACCATCAGCACATTGCGCTCGGAACCAGAATTTCCTGTCGGTCTTGGTCTGTGAGTTGGTACATACGAGTCAATGCCTGAGTCACCTCCTTGTACACAATGACGTTGACCCGCACTCCACGCTGCGCAGCGGCCTGCAGCATCCGATCCAGCCGATATTGTTCATTTTTCGCAGGTGGACGTCTCAGGTACAATTCAGGAGATAGCCACCCTATCAAGGAAGTTAGTCGCGAAACAGAAGGTTTGCTTCTCCAAGGAATGAGCGTCACTTACAGTCCAGAATCCAGATCGACTCCCTGGCGCTCTCGAGAGCTTTTGAGACGGCATAGAAGTAAGAGCATCCGTCGACATACCACTTCGCATCGTTGGCCTGTCGCGGAGCGGCAAAGCTACCGAATCTGTGCCCCGACTGAGGATTATTCGGACCATACTCTGCATATGCTTGTGGGTCGAGAGCATTGCCAACTCGCTGGGCGACGTCCGAGCCAAATCCGGTGACGGTGTCTTGTAGCTTTCCTAAAAGCCCGGAAATTTTGTCCTGTTTCGCGGGTTTTGCCTGGTACTCGGGGTTCTGGTACGGGTTCTGGTTCTGATTCTGGCTTCCGTATGGGTAGCTTTGCGAGGATCCTTGATTTTGGTAACTCTGTCCCTGAACCGACGGCCAAATAATATTAGTCACTACAAGCACCAGGCACGCGAGCTTGATAGACTTACCCCATAACCTCCAGGGACATAGCTCTGAGACTGGCTCTGTCCTGTCTGCTGGGGCTGGGAGTGTTGTTGCTTATAAGTGTCCTTCAGCTTTTTGAAGGTATCACCAACAAAGCTTCTCGTGCTCTCTCCCTGACCATCTTCCCGTCGGTGGTACTGGCCGTATGCCAAATCATCCTCTCGTCCAGTCATTGCCGCAGTCAATAGAAGGCGATCGGGTTATAGGGGTTGAGGCACAATATTGCCGGCAGCTGATTGCATGTAGAATCAACAACGAACCTCGAGGGACGCGGAACAATTTATCCATATCATGGCGGGACAACCGACATAAGCCGGGGTCCGATCAGCCCAGTCCCTCATTGACACAGCCTCGCTGTCAGCTCGTTAGTTTGTTGACACGCGGCACGCCAATACGCCACTACAGCCCCGCTATCCTGAGACAATCAGCGAAAGAAACCCACTTTCAGCTTGAAGAGAAAGCAGAGATCTCCTCACCGACGAAGCCCTCATTAGTTTTGAATATTATGACACAGAGCATGAAATCGTCACTGTTTTCAATAACAGATACAGCATTCACGAAAAATGGCATTTCCTGGACAGCCTTAGAAAATTCCGTTGTAGTACTTGGCGGGGTTTTTAAATTGTTGCCTACCCCTCGTCTCATCCCGCAACAACTTAACAAGCATCATTCGCACCCATTGTGGCGCAGCATTGAACATCATAAGTGCAATCGCCATTAATTTGTGGCTGGAGTGCAGGGACTGTTGATGGAAGATCAGACCGTATGTTCAAGGCTTTCAGTCGCTTTTTCTCCTGGCAGGGACGCTTTCTTCACCAAAGAGGTTTCAGTTAAGGACTCGAACTGAATCGTACTGTCCAGATGTGAAATGACGCTGGATGCCAGATTAAAACCGTCCGCTGCTTCTGGATTAGTATGTGGGACGGAGTTGTCGAGGATATGCATAATTGAAAGAATTGAAGTCATCAGCTTCACTGTGACCTCGTCGACGTCGATGACATATCACGATCAATTCTCTTAACTTCTCTGCAGCACGGGCGAAGTAAAGATATACAATCAACGATCGGACGATCTGATAAGCAATGAGTTGTCTGTGGAGATGCCGTCAGGAACAAACTTAGAAATATAGAACCG